GTATGGGCAGGCAATAGGCGGGGGCGAGTCGATGAGGTAGTCATAGATTACCGAGATGAGGTCTAGGTGTCTGGGCGCCAAGGGTGCTTCCCGAGAACGTCATGTGATCCCCGGAGTCCGCCAGTCTATGCACGCTATACTCGGGCAGGACGGAAAACGATGGTATTGGGCACGCGCTACGGAAGCTGCGCGGGACCACCGAGTCCGTGTCGCCACCGCTCTCTCGCGCGACCGGTGGGCCGAGCTCAAGCCGGCGGAAGGCGAATGTACCTGATACATGAGACGTAGCTAAGCGAGACCAAAAATGGGGCAGCAGAAGGGTGGGTGCAAAAACGAAAGCTCGAGGAGCACGAGCTCCCGAAGGGCGAGGGGACGAGGATCCTGGGCTGCGAGCCCTTAACCTATATACTACTAGAGACAAAGCAGATGTAAAGCGGCGAGGGGGTGGCACGAGTTACGCTGTCATAGACCCTGGACAATAATCATTGTCCAAAACATCTATGCACGCTATACTCGGGCAGGATGGAAAACGATGGTATTGGGCACGCGCTACGGAAGCTGCGCGGGACCACCGAGTCCGTGTCGCCACCGCTCTCTCGCGCGACCGGTGGGCCGAGCTCAAGCCAGGAAGGAGAGTGAAGCGGAGAGCCGGAGGCTCGGAAGGCTGAGCGTGAGGATCGGCCCAAAGGGAAGTGATTGCACCCAAACGGGGGCCGGCACCGGGGCCCGGGCCCAAGGAGGAGTGATGGCGAGCGGATTCATCGAGGGAGGGCGGGCCGGCCCGAGGAGAAGGGATGGAGTGAGCATGATGCGGCCGGGCGGGGGGCCGGGTTGGGGAGGAAGCAGTGAGCGGATCACCGCGTAAGAGGCCCCGGAGGGCAGGCGGAACGACGAGAGGGCGCAGCGAGCTGCCCGGAGGAGTGGCGAGTGGCGAGGGGCACGGATGCCCGGAGGGGTGGCGAGCGGATCGCCGAAGAAAGGAGCTAGTGGTCCCCATTGGGCAACACCGTGAACGACGTGGTGTGCACC